TCAGTTTTTGTGCGACCAGTCCAAAAGACGTCAGGACAGTTGTGCGTGGAATTCGTCAGCGAGAAAATCATACTATGGGGCGTCCCCAGCGAATTCACAGCGGACCAGGACTCCATGTTGAACTCGGATGTGTTTGTTAACTTTTGTGCCGACTAAGAGAACTTCCTCCACCTGGCGACTGTCGCCTCGATCATCAACAGGGCAATGGCCGAGCAGAGGTGCGTATCAAAGTTATGAAAGCGTGGGTCTATAAGTGCGCGATTCTAACCTCTCAGTCATCTTGGGTGTGCTTGGTTCCCGCCTTTGCATAAGCATATAATGTGCCTTTGTCTTCTGTTACCGGCGAAGCACCTTACATCAAAGCGACTTCCCGGCACTATCATGGCGCGCAGATCCCTCTCCTGGAAGAACGCACGGCACTGATTCTCTCCACCAAATCTGGTACATTGGACATGGTGGCGTTAGGCCAGCGGCAGATAAGCTGCGCCTAGACGTTCCTTCCTTTACCATCAACTCGCAAGTATCGCGCTTGCTACGTAAGAATTCCGGGCTGTCCTGCGTGGGCAGATCCCGTGCACTGTAATCCATGTGAACGATTGCGCGTGCCACACGGTGTTTGATATTCCTGATGGACGTGAGTTCATTTTTCATCGTACACACCTTCGGAAATATTATCCGAGCATCACCCTTGACCCACGGGTTGACATCAAACCCAAGGGCGTTTCCCAAACAATGACTCTTTCGACATTCCGACTTCGCAGCAGCCCCTAAAGCTATCAATTCGTCTATTTTACCTCGTGCGTGCATCGCCTGCAGGACAACGATGGATGAACTGAGTGAATTCCCCTTTTGGGGTGTATCTCGACTATTGGGCCCACAAGAAGCAAGCCCCTGCGTTCACACTCACAACCGAAGTCGTCACTGGTCTACGGTCACTGTGGTCTTCAAACACGGTCACCAGCAAGTTATCCAACGTAAAAGGTGGAATCGACCTTGCGCAAAATCCTCTCAGAATGACAACAGTCCACGAACGCCCCACTTTCCTTTTTTGACATACCTGCCGACCGTCGCTCGCAGGATGATCGCAGATGAACAACGTTGTTTCCTATATCTTGTCTACATCGATCTATGCCCCTTGTGCACCCTCACTTCGACTTTCAGAATATATGTGTGTACTCGCTTCACAACGCTTTCTGCCCACTGGCTGCTGAATCTATGTGTATACACGCTTCACAACGCTTTCTGCCCACTGGCTGCTGCCTTGGGTGTGTTTTTAAATATGTATCACTATCCCTGGCTCCCTGCTAAGTACCAGGGCGCTAAGTGATAGTGGTTTCTATGCACATACACTAAGGTATTTTGGTGTATTTTTTTTTTTTTTGTTCTTTTATTTATTATTGTGACTATATTTCATGAATTGCCAACAGGCCCATCCCTCTATTTTTTTTGGCTTGATGAGTTGGCCCTTGTTTGGCAATTGGGGCGTGTAGTAAAATGTTCACTGGAGTACCAAACTGATGCAGGCGTCACTTGAGTTAGAACAGCTGAAGTGAACCTGACAGGTGTCACACACGCGGGTTAATGCTGAAGTACTTGGGACTGCGGCCCACGTACTAAAACCAGGCACAGTATTGGTGGCTCCTCCTTATGGCTACCCTTAGGAGTAGCCACCAAACCTACTGGCATTTTCCAAGGAGTAAAATTGTAGCTGCATTATTAGGCGCCTTACAATATGCGCATTCTGCAAAAGTTTCTTAATAACTACTTGGTTAAACTGGGTATATATGGCCGATTTCTCAAGTCAATTTCCAAAACAACTTCACTTCTACAGGCTACAGCTATAAGTAGAATCACATTAACTTAAGTTGCGATTTTTTTACACAAGTTTAACGGACTATCCGAATAGAAAAGGAACTATTTGAAAACTCAGTATTTTATTAGTATCAAATACTAACTTCTAAAAGTGAGACCTCTTACGATCCAATTCTTCTCATGTCTTTTACATGTCTTCGCCTTCTGATAATTTTCTATTTCTTTTAATGTTCTTGCGCGACTGGTGTCAATAACAAAAAGTTGTTGCGGGTACTTGAACCCACAGTCAATACATTAAAATTGTGATCCACTGCACTCGTGCTAAATACCTCGTAGAGGGGGCACACCCATCCTCGAAAGAGGATTATAACAGACGTTCGATGGAGAAATGCGGTATCCCTCCTAGAGATGAACTCCGATATATATGTGGTCAGGAGGGAGAAAGCCTGCCCCCTCTTAGTATCCTTCGGGAGCACGCGAGATATATTATCATATGTTTGACCTATGCATCTATTTTTCTTATGTTGGAATCCTCTACTATCTCGCGGGGTATATTCTAGTGCGGTATGTGCTGTCCAAACTAATTCGGTGCGTAGTGTTTAGTTCGCACTACATCATTCGGTGCGAATTGCTAGATTGCACGAATCTAATCTGTCCTAAATAAGTGTGTGTATTTCATACTATTTCAGTGTGATGTGACCCGATATAGACAGTGCGAATAATACGCCTTCCAGAATCTGTGATACATCAGAATTACCTGTTGCAGGTTTCTACTGGTCCGACACTATGGAGCTATGATTTGCAACAGGATCTCATCGTCGGGAATCCAAACACAACAGACGACATCATATTTTATATACACGGCCATTGCCTCACGATATTAACGTCCTAATAACGTCCGACTGTGTTGAGATGTTTAGATTTTCATCTCTTCGCATTGTTCCCCCGAAGAATAGTGTTCCGAACTTCCAACGCTCCCATGCGACAGCAATACGACAGTTCTACCGATACCAGCGTCAGCGTTCGTTGGAAACCACTGCTGTTCTCACCCCTTCTCATTGCGGATAAAGAACTGTACCCTTCCCAACCAGAAGGTTTGTACATATTTCGCCATCTAATCGCTGATCCATGAGCAACGGAGCATGGCGCTAACTTTAACAAGGGCCAAGCCACCATCTCATATAGCACTATGTCTTGCCTGTAGACAAGTGTGTGTATGCCACATGCAAAGAAGTCGTGAAGGTTCCGTGTGCGCAAGTTTATACCCAGTTCAGCTCGCAGTGTAGTGGGGCTTAGCTACCACTACTAACACTAGCCCATCGATACCACTTTATGCCCAAAGACGACGTAAATATGCACTCCAATACAGAGCGACTTCATGCACCGGGTGTCTGTGTTTATACTACGTGTACAGCACACATATATGCTTGATATATATGTATATACCCAATGTTTGCAAGTATAAATAAATATGTACTTCATATGGCAGCGGATGCGGCCACCCCAACCAACGCCAACCCTGCGCGTTCACTCGCCCACAAGCGACGCAGGTGTGTACTAACCTCCACATCGGCTAAGAAGTCAGCCTTAGCTGACATAAGCATGGAACATACCCTCTCCTCAGCCTCATTCAGGGACTGTAAAAGAGCATCAGTGATGAGATCAGACCTCAGAGAAGACACTTGTTTTAAGATAGCTTCTTTGGTATGGCTGTATTTTTTTTCTTCCATGCAAGGTTCTGTGATCGGGAGGGGCAAAATAAAAAGTCGAGATATCAGATGTGAGAATGAGGATTATAACATCTGACCATACAAGCAAAGGTATATATATATATTGCGCGTTGATATTTCTCTCTCCTTACGTGCCTATATCACGGCAACGGCAACGGCAACATATATCACCAGTACAAAGATGTACACGGCATACACCCAATACATAACGATGTCACCGCCCCTGAACGGATTCATAAAAGTATGCTTGTCGTCGACAGCATGATTTAAATAAATAATCAGAGCCCACGTGCCTCCAAAGACAAATAAATCCATTAGAGAAATTATAACCCACAATGGGATACGTAACCAGGGTGCGCGCCTACCGTCGACAACTAGTGCGAACGGATGATAACAACTGATATGGATATGATCAATTTAGCAGGCTTATGCGTTGGAATATATTTATTGTGATTTTGCTTACACAGTTAAACTTGACAGAGTTGATAACCACATGTCTCGGAATCGAGGAAAGTATTTACTGATATTTTCGGTATAAAACCAAATGTTCAAAATCAGTGTGCTCTTCATAAACATAGCAATACTTCTTAATCCCTATTTGGATTACATTGCGGGCAAGTATTGCCTTACATAGTGTTGAAAATTTTAAGTTTGGTGAGGTAATCTAATACGTTCTCACAAATGTGAGATTGCTAGTAGATCTGACCTGATACCAACTAGTACTATGAAATCTCGACGACTTTTATAATTCGTGTCGCTGTATGTCTCATCGTTTAGTGTAGTATATATACGAATTGACAGCCCAAGGATCAAAATTTCCCCAAGTATATGTGTAGAAAGTACGCAATATACAAGAAGGACCCTTTAATGGTAGTCCAGTTCACTCTTGTGGACTCAAGTGTAGATAGTCGTGATGACTCGTGTTAGAGTCGTGTATACTCGTGGGAAGTGGCGAAACTGTCGAAACTCGCGAAAAGTCGTGAAAAGTCGCGAAAATCGCGACTTCAACGAAGGATTACAGAAACCCTACGCATTATGAGAATAACCCCCCCCCCCCCCCCCCCCCGCCCCGCATGAAGTATTGTATTTGGGAGCTCTTTGGACCTGTGATGGGAAATCGGGAAATTGAGGAATTTCGGAATTTCAACCATTTCGGCAGTTATTTGGTTGTGAAAACTGGGATTTCGCGGTAAAATTGGGTATATCGTAAAACTTCAGTCCCAAAGAGCTGCCGATACAATTATAATTTTGAAATTCTCCACCTTATGTCCATAGAGAGCACCTAAATATGGTACTCTACACAGAGAGCAATTTTCCTATCCTGCAGATAGTCCCTGTATTCTTCCGTTGCAGTTCGCGAATTCTCGCGAGTTTTGACTTTCAAGACTTTCGCGAGTTTTGACGAGTATACACGAGTCGCCATTAGTACACACGAGTCAACAAGTGACAAATGTCTTTTTTTTAGTAGTATACTTCAGGATATAATTATTTAGTCAGTTTTCGAGGTTTACTTTGAATTTTGCACATTTTTTTTTCAATACTTGTGACAGTTATGATCTATGAGATGTCAGATTGTATTTTTGTGTCTGATGAACGGTGAGACATACATGATGCATTCTTTTCACAAGTTGTTGAATTGATTTTCAAGTACCAGTTAGTATCATGAAAGATCCCGAGCGTTTGTCTGGTTATTGTAACACTACGTTAATTTAATATACTTACTCGCACCGTAAAGCAAACATGGTAATATCAATAGATATTGTTCTGTGTATAAAAAAGATACTGATGTTGAGTATTTGACGTTGTATTAAGTTTAATATTTGGTGTATATTTACCTCGGTGCTACCAAAGTCATATGATTTTCAACTCAAGCTTAACCGGATATCAAACTTCACTATAAGCTATAATATGGTAATGTATAGACGTACATAGAACCCATATAGTGATTAGCATTCATTCCCACTACGCTATTACGATGAAGTGGTAAGATGGAGTGGTAAGCAGCATTCGCAAAAGGTATCTATGCACCTTCTGGTTTCTAGCATCGAGCAATGATATATGCCATCTGGGAGTAAAATAATCACAGTCAGATTTCATCATGTTTTAGACAGTTGTCCAATAATTCATATAAATAGCCAACTGATAACAATTGGACAATCTCCCAACGGAAATTCACGAAGTAATAATCCGAACACAAGATCCAGACACCCAGTCCCACAAGCCGGACCACAAAATTAAAATGAGACCCCGGCCGAGTATTTGTAAGGA